AATCGATTTTTCTTTCAAGGTAAATATTAAGCTTTTTTTTGTGTTTTGCAAAGTTTGTATTTCTCAATCTAATGCATCACAGCGCGGTTGTTGTTGAGTGTCAGTTAAAGTATTCTCTTTCTCCTTTCTTCCACATTTTTATTAAGTTTCGTGCACGGTATGTGTGTTTTCGATCACAACCGCATTACAAGCCAGGACGTCCACTTGTATTTTTGTATTGCGTGCAATTTTGCCTTATCGATTTTCATTCTACTACGCCGGTACTATATGTGATGTAAGGCGTAGTTTATTTGAGATCTATAGTGTCATTCGACCAACCGTTAAATTAGGATTAGATTCACATGTCAGACAAATCCTAGAAAATACAGTATGAGATGCCATCGTATTCGCTGAATTCGAGGAATATAAAAATACGAAATCTGACACAACTGTTGCATAATATACTAGTTTTGATTTTGATCCGCTGATTTGACAAGCGAAAGTTCCTTGAGAGGGAGTGGTCTAGAATCTAGACAACAAGACTTTTACCAACAGGAACTTCTCCAATGGCAAGAGTCTGTTAAACTCGTATCAGTTGTTTTGAAAGAGTGTTAGTGTATAGAATCGAATAGTTCAGTTCAGTTCCAAACAACTGAACTGTATGAACAGTTCTTTTGATAAGAACTGATCTGATTGTTCATACAGTTACTTTCAGAGGAACTTACCCTTGAGAACAGTTCTTCTCGTAGGAACTATCCGAAATGATTCCCAAAGTAGAACAATATTACTCACCACTCGGAAGTAGTATTCCCAGAACAAAACAATATTACTCAGCACTCGATAATAGTATTCCCAGAATAGAACAATATTACTCAGCACTCGATAATAATATTCCCAGAACAGAACAATATTACTCACTACTCGGAAGTACTATTCTCAGAACAGAAAAAACCTGTTCTGTTTTGAGAATATTACTTCTTGATATTCAGTAATATTGTTCTGTTTTGGGAATTAGTTCGGTTAGCTCCTACGGAAAGAACTGTTCTCAAGGATAAGTTCCTCTCAAAGGAACTATATGAACACTCAGATCAGTTCTTATCAAAAGAACTATTCAAACAGTTTAGTTGTTTGGAACTAAACTCAACTATCCAACCCCTATTAGTGTAGCATGCATTTAAGGATTAAAAGTCTGAAAATATATCCCATTGGCTTCAATATAGTTGTGTTCGATAAAAATCTCTCTAATTGATATATAAGTTATACTTGAAATGGAGACAATCCAGTGAACTCTCACAAATTGACGAAAGTCCATAGTGAAATAGTGGAAGATATATTAGCAAAATTCCGATCACCCTCCGTGTGAGCTTTATTAAGGCTATTGATTCTTTTTAGAGAGTATGTACAGGGTGCGTATCTGTATCTTCTCTTAGCCTACACCCACGCCCCATCTAAAATCATCTCCCCACACGAATACCCACATCAACACACTCAACTATTAAGATAGTTATGGAGAGTTCCATAAGACTTCAGACAGTTTCAGAGCATCGCAGAGGGTTTTAGAAATATTTTTGAATTTTATTTTTGACCAGACGCCAATAAACAGATACTGAACATTATACGTATAGATTATAAATTACAATGACAACGACAAAAGCGACTGTTTGGGTACACATTGAAAACTGTGAGGCTGAAAAAGTACGACTCGAAGATGAGGTAGATATTGACGATCTCAAAAAGAAGTTGCTTGAGAAAGATGCTAAAAAATACCGAGCAATCTATCGAAATGTTGGATTAAGATCAGACACACCCATACCTCTTGACACTACATATGAAGAACCAATTTCTTTTCGCTTACAACAAGCATCAGGTAAGATTATACTCACGATATCTCGATTTAAAATGAAGCAATTGTTTTGCCTTAAGCTTCGTCCATTACTTCGTCCATTTCGGCAAATAACAGTATGGATACCACTATGCAGTCTCAACGTGAAACACATGTATCATTGCAACCTATGTAAGTGACGAACACAATTGATTAAAATTTCACAAAAATGTGCCTTTATAGACATCAACATCATGAAGAGTCTATCTGTTCGTCCCTACAAGTAAGTCAACCCGGTACCTATGACTCACCTTATGTCCAGTCACGTTCTCTTCATCAGAGTTCTAATGGTCTAATCAATACCCGTCAGCCACCAGTAACCGACTACTACGCTCAGCGATTATCAAACGCTCACAATACTTTATCAGAGCCGTATGCACATGAATCGAAATATGCACAGCCAAATATTCACTTAAATAATGATCAAATATATTCTTCACTTCCAGCTTCTTCCACTGGTCAATCTCCGTACTATACACCTACGGCCATCAGAATGCCCAGTATCGTAAGTCGATAAAACGCTATCAGATACAAAAAAGTCAATTCTTGCATGCATTATCTTTGATGCTTCTAAATACATTAGGGCGTATGATTTTACATTTAACGAAAGAAATTGCTTCTCTAAAAGCACCATCTGAAAAGAATACTAAAGAATAGGCCAGGAAACAGATATATAACAGTTATATCTTAGAAGTGCAGGTCTCATGAGCTAATAAACTATTCAAACAGCTCTCTCTCTGACGTGCTAATCTTTTTCGGCAAGACTTTTCATAAGAATCGGTTGACTTAAGGTTTATAAACCGGGTGCGAATGTGAGTGTTGCAGAAAGCTGAGTATTGTAGACAACACTCACACCCCCTCAAAAGTTATTTAGTCAGATCAATTGCGAGGTTCTAATTATTGTCGCATGGTTATATCTCTTATTGTTATTGTTTTTAGCCAACATCGATCGTTTTTTCTTCATTTATGAAAGAATATATTTCTCTTTTATTTTGCAGCCACATGTAAGTTTCATGTCTCCTAGCTTGATGCAACCGTCGGCTCTTGGATTCAACTGTGTCACCCGTGAAATGAAGATAGCACATTTACACGAGTACGCATACATTTTTCATTGATTAATTCCATGCTTTTTATATTGAATAATATTCTATGTATTAGCGAATGTTTGCGTCGACTAGGTTTTGAACAGTTTGAAACGGCACACGCATATTTACGAAATCAGAGAATTGCCCAGCGTTCAAACATTGTTATAGACGAAAACAAACTACAAGAAGATCTACAAAATATGTTGCTAGATTACGCATCATATGAATTACTAGATCAACTGGTCTTCTTTGAGCTCAACAACTAGACTAAAAGAATTAATCAAAGAAATCATCCAAGTAAACAGAATATTCGCGTTCCGATGTTCCTTTATTACTGAAACAGCTCCACAAGAGTGACCTTTTCTCTTAAAGTATTTTATATTTTTGTTCGCTTTATTGTTTTGCCTGCTCAATAGCAAAGACTAACTATACTTGAGTGGCACTAAATATCAGCAAATAATATTAAGAATTTCTTTTCCTACAAATATATGAGTAATAACAAAAAGAAAGACTTTCATTATACGCTTTATCATTATTGTCAAAAATACAAGTTTTGATTGATACGTTTCAGATAGTATTCATTATGTAACTCAACTAAACGACGTAATCAATTACAATGGGTCAGCGTCCAGCACAACTAAAAACTTTTATCTACGAATACGAAAGTCAGAAACCGTCCACAATTAGAAGATGTAACAATTTTCGTTTTTTAAGTATTGAAGAGGTCTGAAATGGGCAAATTTGAAAGTTATTCATATTCAAATCTATTTCTTCATTAATAACTCAAAATCAACAAAAAAGATGTTATTATTCGATAGTATGTTTCAATGAACACTTCTAGCATATTTCTAATTTCATATTTGACTTCTACTGTTTAGATAATTACACTTTAGTACATATAGGACAAACAATGAATCAATAACTACAATTTAACTGAACAAAAATGAATATAATTCAAATTTACGCGTAGTTTGTGATACAAAAGTTGGGTTTGTGTGCGTGTCTGTATGAGTGTGGATACAAGATAAACTCTATATCGGCCACTATATCCACACCCACTCATCTGTTAGAAGAGTTCGCCAAAATAGAAGACCACCCCGTATTACATGACCCCTTTTTGTGAAAGTTGCAAAAGATATATTATAAGATCCTCTTTTAATTAGTAAGTATTTACAGCAAATTAAACCCTTAACTGGTAGTCTCTCATTCAAATAATCTTATTTTTCGGAGTTCCGAGTTGAAAACCCATATAGACTGAAGAAAACACTGCTTCTAGCTTTTCCAAATCCACAAAATCTTTTGAAAAACATCTAAAACTAGTTTAGTTTTCAAGAAAACATTTCAAAGTAATAATCATGGAAAAAATTAGGCATGTCAGTAGACCCCTTTTGAAACTTTGTATATGCGGATATTATAGAAAAGCAGGGATTCATTCTATTTTCGTCAAGGATACACATTGACAATACATACTAGAAGGTAATAGAACGATATGTTGCTAATTACTTCGTTCTCAATAAAAGCAACTCTACCCAGTCAAGTCTATAATGCAGAAATGGGCATTAAAATGTTTTTTTCTCTAAAAGTGACCATTTTCAACATTAAAATGTGTAATAATAGGATAAATAATGGAATTACAGCATTATAACGGATTTTGAACGGAAATCAACCGTTTTGCCCATTTATAATTTACAACATATGCTCTTTCAATCTGACTGTATCAAAAAGTGTACAAAAACCCTTAATCAGGGATTGCGCGACTGGGATTGGAGGGGGGGGGGTGAAGCGTGTCCAATGTGTAATACCCCCCTCCCAATCTTTCGAAAATTTCTATTTTTTGCTCAACAAAACCGGCAGACCTTCCTAGGTTTTCACCAAAGATAATGCTACACTCCCAAAAAATCGTGAAATTCATCTTTTTACGTCAAAAATTTTTCCTATCGCCCAATCTCTAATCTTGGTTGACTCGCATCATTCCTGAGAGCGAACATACAAGCAAGAGAGCAAACAATTTATTTCTGCTGCACTCTTCTCTACGAGAAAGGGGATATCACGATATGTTTTGTTTTCCTTCGATTTTATTCGTAAAGCTGTAGTCGTTATTGAAATTTATTACGTTATAATGTTATTTTCAATATATTCATTAACACAACTATAGAGATATTAATTATAGAAAAATGACTTGTTTGTCTAATACTTTGTTTTCATCTGAAAGATCTAAAACTGTATAAATTTATTCAAACTTTATAGTTTGATTTCATGATTGGCTCTTATTTAGTTATTTCGTAAGACTTCTTATGTTTATTTAAAATATACTCTTCGTGTATCTACTAACAAATGTGTTGAATTTTTCTATTGGTCCATTTTTGATTGGTCAAACGTGTCCTTTGTCTTCAAACAAAGAGTTCTTTTGTTATATAAAAAGTGAACACATTGATCACCTCTATTATAATATACAAAGTTTCAGTTCAAGAACTTTAATCAGATTGGTCACAAAACGGAAAAAAATATATATACAGATACATATACATATATGACTAGACGACGATGACCATCTGTCTACATTGTCCTACTATCCTATACTATTATTATTATCTACCCATTCATTAAAATAAAATAAGAGAATAAGACAAAATAGAATAAGAAAATAAAACACAAGGAAAGAATAAGGCATAATAAAATTAAAAAATCTATACTAAAATTTATAAGTTTTCTTCTGAAATGTTTTTTCTTATTCAGACTTTTTACATGTATGCCACACCTCACACTTGAACTTAAGCATTCAACTATCGATCTGCAGGAAGGTGACAGTGGGAAGGGGGAGTGAGCAGGGGGCATGGGTGAGCGTAGAGCACAGGGAGAGTATGAGTAAGGGGAACAGGAGTAACTGAGTAAGCAGGATACCAGTGGCGATGAAGGGAAGAGAAATACAGAAAGAGAATAGTTTAATATTTGAAGTGAACAATTGAATTCAACTTTCAAGTTTAGCACTAGTCATTTTTTATTGAGTCATTTTTTCTTATAATATGAGATCTTATCTCTTCACAGGGCCTCTCGTTCAAATACAATAGAGTAGATAAAATATGAGAATTAACATTTGTAGTCTAACTTGCTACTCACACATACGGTCTCCTATCATTTCTTTCCAATTCATTTCGTCTCGTTCATTTCGTCGCCTTCCATTTTGTCCTAAAATCACTTCGTCCTCTTTCATTTATCCTATGCATTGTGTTCACTACCTTTTATTTTAAAATCATTTTATATGCCTCCACAGCTTTTCCCTACTTATTCCTATCTTGAGGTTGTGAATCTGGGTGTGGTCATCCCTTGCTGATCTGAAGAGAACACCC